TTTGTACAACAATACAAATATAAGTACAAAAAACAAACTTCTGCTTAATAGAAAAATACAAATTACAGACAGCCCTGTAATTTAGGACAACCACAGCTAATGCAGCCTGTGGTTAGGACGATTACAGACAGCACCTGTAATTAGGACAACTGCAGAAAGCACTACAGTTAGGGATGGTTAGTATTGGTTACATTAGACATCATCCAAAGTCTAATCGCAGAGCAATCATCTTGAAAGGCGGATCGATTCTCCCGAATACAGACTTATTTCCCTTCCCCAGAGAATATGAATCTTTATTAGTTGGTAAGTATAACATTCCAACCACCTCGGGTCTAAAGCCGCCACCACTTGGACATAAAAATGGCCAAAAGCTGGCAGACCTCCACAAAGGTACAACCAACGTGCCGTATGCACCACACTGTTGCATATACTTTAGCACTCTATGCACCAAGCATGCTGGTGGCACGAACCACCCGTTCACCCCTTGCCAATCAGCTGTGAACGCGTCCATACCGGACGACTGTGTATCAAAATACCTAGAAAAATATACCGGTAGCTTTCTATTGTTGACACTGGAAAACCAGTCAATTTCGTGAGGCCCCCAAAGGGAATCTACATGGACAAAAATGTCCTTAGAAACACCCCAATCATCACAATCAATGATACGACTAATGTAGTCTGCCTGCTCATTTTCCCCTCGAGGGATCCATTCAATATCAATAGAAATACCATTTGCTAAACACGTGTCAAATATTGACAACGCAAGACTTTGTAGCTCGGATTTCATACTCCCTTTGTTTACAATACACACAACATTCTGGTTATCTGTGTACCATTTCACACGCTTACCTCGAAGCACGTGTACCAATGACAACAATACACTACTGACAGCTGACAATTCACGCCATGTCGAACTTTTCTCCTTCTCACTATCACTCCACATACCGTGGGCGAAACCAACCGGGGTATCTACCTCATAACCCCGGAACCCGTACCACTGGCGTCACTGAAAACTATTTTTTGACAGGAATAATCAAAATTAAACTTTTTCTCGTTTATTCGATCGACACTCCTTTCCCAAAAATAAAGTTGTTCAATACTTGACCTAGACAATACTATTCCGGCATTCCATGATGGGGCAGATGCTATATCAATACTTAAGCTCTTTGTCATTATATATACAACATTTCCCAAAATGTATGACATTGAAACTATCTGTAACTTCGAATTTGAAAAATCTTACTTTATTACCGAATCGCCATGAAAAACCCAAAAATGTTGTGTGTGGTTCGAAAATTTCAATGTGGTGATAGGCCGAATGTATGTCAAATTTAAAACAAAAACAATCATTTTTGATAAATTGCATGGCCACCCTTATATCTTCAAACTTTACACTACATTTCAACAGGTGTGCATTGACGTGTCTCAAATCTAATATAAGACGTTTCTTACCGCTAGCTTGAACGGACACTGTCAATGGGTTAGTGACGTAAGGCATCTCGCTACACTCTCAACCAATGACCTTGCTACCAGATCTAAGATCGCTTTCTCAACAAATGATTCATGTTTCAACGCCGGCTGATTATTTTTTAACCATACCGAACATGGAGTAGAATAAAAGGGAATCTTGTACCCGTTTCTGATAGTATCCAATATAAAATTGCTACATCCTATACTCTCCCAGAACGAAATACGTCCTTTTAATCTAATCTTGACTTTGATATCAGCTTGCCCTTGCTCGTATTCATAAAAATCATCAGTCAAAAAATACTCATCTTTTACAAAGTCACTCTTTTCCGCCTGCACGACTGGACTTGGCTTGGCCTGGACACTCGTTTCTCCAGTGTGAGAATGATCCACAGCTAAAACATCCGCCTCCAGTCGTCCGCCTTCGTTGTGGGTAAGTGTGTGCGTGTGCTGACCCGGCCTGGGATGCGGGCCACGCGTTGACCCATGACTCCTGACCTTGGGGCACACGAAAGGGCAACTGAACACCAGAAACACCAGGACCAACACTCGCAGGCTTGTAGACACTTTGTTTACGATTGTGCTGTTGTTTTCCCTTCTTTTTCTTGAGGGCCCGATTCTCCGCCCTGTTGATTTTCCCCTCATCGTCAGAATTATTTGCTATTGGATTGTGCTCGTACTGACGCACAGTTTCCCATCCACCGTCACTGGTATCCGCGATTTTAATTAATTTGTTTCGCTTGGACAATTTCTCCTGCACACTAGCTACTAATTCGCACGCATAGTCGACCTTTACATTTTGTAAAGCCCAAGACACTTGATCCAAATCTTCCTTTATTTCTGTGTTGAGGGCAAACTGCAGTCTATGACTCTCGCTTTTCCATTTGAAAGAATGTTCCACCTTTAAACGCTTGACCTGGGCGGACACCTGCCCGGCCGACCCCTTTACTTCCTCCTTCAATTCCCCAATTTCGCGCCGTAAATTTGCGTTTATAGACGCAATACTGTCACCTTGCGATTTCACGGCGTTTAGAATGTCTCCTAAACTTATCTGTCCTCCTGAACGTGTCGACGTGGTCGCTCTGAATGACCACCTTACACCTTACACACCCACCCGTGCGACACAAGCACGGACACTACATGCTGCCTCATGCAGCACGCATACGACAGGAGAAAACAATTTCAGTCTAATTCGTACCTCAAACGAATGAAATTGTATGTATATCAATTGTGTGTGAGACGAAATTATAAATGTTGAAAAATTGAAATAGTTGATTATACCAAACACTGCCGACATACAGATGATCCCATTCCAAGTTTTCCATATATCGCTTCAATCGGGAACCGTCGGCACTTTCCGTAAACGAGAAAATACTCGTTTACAGAAAGTGCTGACGTTTCCCGAATATTTTCGCTTGTGTTTTTAAGCAAAACTCAAAACTCGGAAAGACGCCATATCAGAATGTGTGTTAATATTTTTTAATACGTGCTAAGCACAATGAAATCAACTTTGATTTAACCGGCTCAAATTTAAATGTGGTGGAGATTACAATTTGAACACACCAACTCTTATGGAATCTCGTGAAGAAATTCCCGTATGTTCCATTTTTATCATGGTTCCTTTTGGCACGTACAATACAGCTTGGTACGAACATATTGTGCCGGTTGCTTTTTGTTACCGGCGACCACGTCAAAGGGGGATAACTGCATATATATATTTGTGAAACTCAAATGTGCTACTGTTTTTATTTCAATTTGCGCATGGGTTCGACACACTGCGCATGGGTTCGACACACTGCGCAAGACCTGTGTCGCTTGTCCAGTTTTCAACTCCTAATAGAGTTCTATTTCAGGAAACATGAACTCTATTTTCGTTGTGTCTTCAATTTCTGACGGTAACACATACCGTGGACCCGAATTTATGAAATCGTTTTCATGCTCAAGCAGAGATTTTGAGCTCAAGACTAATTTCTTCTTCCGGTTATAGATTAATAAAACAAAATCATCATCTTTTGTCAAATATTTGAAAAACATTGAAGATCGTATATTGTTTCCAACGTTAAGTTTGACTTCTTGATCGTTCGACACATAATCCATGCTTGAGCAAGAGAACGGTTTCATGAATACGGGCCCAAGTGTCGCTTGTCTTGTGTAAGAAATTTAGTGGAATCCTAAGGTAAACATTCCTTATCGCTATGGGTCCCAAATTCGACTCCTACTAGACGCATTCACTGCCGCTTTAGTCCTGGGTTCGACTCTAGTGAGTGATATTTTTAAGATGAATTTGGGGCCTTAAAAAGGTTTCTTTCATAAGATAACTTTTGCTGTATTTTTCCAAAAATCAATGCAGAAATCACTTTATTTCCCCCAAATTACGCTTTCTGTGTGTGATATTTTCCAGAAGTCACAAGGCACAGGCCCCTGTTGAGGGGAGGTAGAAACATCAGTGGACTCATAACAAAAGACATTTTGGTAACTTACACATTATCACCATCGTGTAACCGCTTGCACTTATAAGGTAAAATACAATAACATGACGTCATGATCGGTAAAATAGAGATACCCACTTGTGACGTCACATACCTGTTGCTAAGCTGCTTAGCAATCGGCGAAGGCGGAGATGATCAGTCTCTCCCCTGATATTTACTGATTTTGTTAAAATCTTCGATTACCACAATGAATATAAGGTTATTCTTGATATTTGTGGTAATGATGTGCGCCATGCACCAAGGGCCTACTGTATATCGGGGCCTTACGTGGTAAGTTTGGACCAGACATGATAAGATTGGATCGCATATGTTATTCTTTGACTTGACATTACGCAAAGATCTCGCGGAGCTCAAATCAACTTCAATAACCTTTTCAAGTTTACGATTGTGTTGCCATTGAATGCACAGAAATATTTACTCTTAACTTTATAATTTTAACTCTGTAGCGTGGAGCCCGAGCCAGGATATGCCAAAAGATTGTTTTATTATTTCACCGCAAGTGAAATTGAGAAAGTCTGTCCAACGGTTACCGCTCTGACAAGGGTAAGGATTACATTTGTTTATTATTAATGACTGTGTGTTATGAAACGTCAACAGTTTTTGTACTAATAATTAAGTAAGATTATACTTGTGATGATGCTTATCTGATTCTCCTTCTCACAAAGTTATTTTATTTATTATGTTTTACGCGTGTGCATTTCGTTTTGTGTGATTTAACCTGTGTGTATTTCGCAATTTTTATCAACCGCCGGCTATGCTTTAAATGCGTCCAGTTGGCGTAAAAACGTTTTTCTTCTCCTGTTTTGTTGGTACCTTAGGAATTTGCAGATCTGGAACATTGAATGTTTGTATTAGAATACAATTCCCTGAACAAATACTTATGATTTGATTTGTTTTAGCGATTTGGAAATGAGGTATTCTATAATCTGCTGTGTGTGCTTCTTACCCTGCTGTTGGGATATGCGTCTTTGGTCGGAAAAGTCGTCAAAGAGAAATGGTCAGCCGCCGTGTCAATGTTCCAGAAATGGAGAGCTCGTAAGTAACCAGCGAAGTTTAAAATATTAAATAAAGCAGCAGTTTTCAGTTCTAGTGTTCTGTTTACCTTTCAATTAGGACGTTTTCTATAATTAATGTACCTTTCTATTAACCTCGTGTTGTAAAACTACCTTAACGCGCCACCTTCCGGTTGATACACGTTTGCTACATGTAGCTTGGAACCCATTTCAGTATTGTACATTCCTGGGTTCTCAGACCAATGTTTTGATCAATATTACAGCAAATTGTTTGGTAACGTACGGTGTAATTGTGAAATTAACAGGCTTTAATTTCAAAGAAGCTCTTTGATAATCTTTAAAGTACGGGTAACACTTTCTATAAGCCTTGCAATTGGTCAGACTTGGGTGTCTGGAACCAGTCAAATGGCTATCTGTTAGTCCCGGTGTAGCATGGTATTGTGAAGCATGATGAAAGGAACAGCGGTTCATATTACCATTATAGTTATATGAACCGTCATTTATTGTAAAGTGAAGTGCCCCTGTCACACCCTAAATTGTTTTTCGTCAGACTTGATTTTTGTGATTTTCATATGCACTACATCAAACTGATGTAAACTAAAACACGTTTGGTTTAAAGAAAGTCAAATAAAAGAAATAAAAAAACTTCATTTCACCATTATGGTAAAGTAAAGGGCCCCTGCCCCACCCTAAATTGGTCTACCCTAGACTTTATTTTTATGATTTTCATATTCAGGACATCAAACTGTCAAAAAAGTCAAACAGAAAAAAGGTAAAACCCTGTATTTCTTGATTATGGTAAAGCGAAGCGGCCCTGACCTCCCTACCTTTCTCTACCCAAGACTAATCTTTTGTGATTTTCATATTCAGGACATCAAACTGATGTAAATTAAAACAGATTTGGTTTAAAAAAGTCAAATAGAAAAAAATGCTAGAACACTTCATTTCACAATTATGGTAAAGTGATGCGCCCCTGCCCCACCCTAAATTGTTCTTCCCCAGACTTAATTTTTGTCATTTTCAGATAAAATACATCAAACTGAAATAAAATGGAAATTGATGGTAGCCTTCATTTTACCATGGGGCGGTTCATATTACCATAATGGTAATTTGAACCGCGGTTCAATTTCACCATGACCTTCATATTACCATACCTACACCGTGTTCCGTTATGAGGAAATCTACGGATGCATAGAAAGTAATGTTTTGTGTGCCGAAAACTAAAACCCTTGATTTCGGAAAGTCGTAACATAAATATTTGTTTGTACAGGTCCTTCCCTCTGTCGTCACTGCGGTACTGCCCCGTGTCAGGTCAAAAGGAGATCCTTGTGGAAGCCCTCGGGTACTCGAAAGAAAGACAAGGCGAATTTCGCAAAGAGATCCAACGCCATGATGTTGTTTTACTATGGACTAGAGTTGTCCGTAGTACTGACCAAAGAGCTGCCATGGAATGACCTGTACTTGCAGAGGAAGTTGGTCCAGCATTTTGAGGAGAAGCATATGGTATTGTTCCCAGTATGCATCCAGCGTCAGATAAACTACTGGTACCCTGTCCCTGGTTAGGTAATGTACTCTGTCCCTCAGCTGGTACTATGTCCCTCGCTTGATTGGTGTTATATCCTTCTCTATGTACTCTGTACTATATTCCTCGCTCATAACACTGCCATTCACTAGGTACTATGTCCCTCGCTTGATTGGTGTTATGTCCTTCTCTATGTACTCTGTACTATATCCCTCGCTAATAACACTGTCATTCACTAGGTACTATGTCCCTCGCTAGGATGGTGTTATATCCCTCTCTATGTACTCTGTACTATATCCCTCGCTAATAACACTGTCATTCACTAGGTACTATGTCCCTCGCTAGGATGGTGTTATATCCCTCTCTATGTACTCTGTACTATATCCCTCGCTAATAACACTGTCATTCACTAGGTACTATGTCCCTCGCTAGGATGGTGTTATATCCCTCTCTATGTACTCTGTACTATATCCCTCGCTAATAACACTGTCATTCACTAGGTACTATGTCCCTCGCTAGGATGGTGTTATATCCCTCTCTATGTACTCTGTACTATATCCCTCGCTAATAACACTGTCATTCACTAGGTACTATGTCCCTCGCTAGGATGGTGTTATATCCCTCTCTATGTACTCTGTACTATATCCCTCGCTAATAACACTGTCATTCACTAGGTACTATGTCCCTCGCTAGGATGGTGTTATATCCCTCTCTATGTACTCTGTACTATATCCCTCGCTAATAACACTGTCATTCACTAGGTACTATGTCCCTCGCTAGGATGGTGTTATATCCCTCTCTATGTACTCTGTACTATATCCCTCGCTAATAACACTGTCATTCACTAGGTACTATGTCCCTCGCTAGTATGGTGTTATATCCCTCTCTATGTACTCTGTACTATATCCCTCGCTAATAACACTGTCATTCACTAGGTACTATGTCCCTCGCTAGGATGGTGTTATATCCCTCTCTATGTACTCTGTACTATATCCCTCGCTAATAACACTGTCATTCACTAGGTACTATGTCCCTCGCTAGGATGGTGTTATATCCCTCTCTATGTACTCTGTACTATATCCCTCGCTAATAACACTGTCATTCACTAGGTACTATGTCCCTCGCTAGGATGGTGTTATATCCCTCTCTATGTACTCTGTACTATATCCCTCGCTAATAACACTGTCATTCACTAGGTACTATGTCCCTCGCTAGGATGGTGTTATATCCCTCTCTATGTACTCTGTACTATATCCCTCGCTAATAACACTGTCATTCACTAGGTACTATGTCCCTCGCTAGGATGGTGTTATATCCCTCTCTATGTACTCTGTACTATATCCCTCGCTAATAACACTGTCATTCACTAGGTACTATGTCCCTCGCTAGGATGGTGTTATATCCCTCTCTATGTACTCTGTACTATATCCCTCGCTAATAACACTGTCATTCACTAGGTACTATGTCCCTCGCTAGGATGGTGTTATATCCCTCTCTATGTACTCTGTACTATATCCCTCGCTAATAACACTGTCATTCACTAGGTACTATGTCCCTCGCTAGGATGGTGTTATATCCCTCTCTATGTACTCTGTACTATATCCCTCGCTAATAACACTGTCATTCACTAGGTACTATGTCCCTCGCTAGGATGGTGTTATATCCCTCTCTATGTACTCTGTACTATATCCCTCGCTAATAACACTGTCATTCACTAGGTACTATGTCCCTCGCTAGGATGGTGTTATATCCCTCTCTATGTACTCTGTACTATATCCCTCGCTAATAACACTGTCATTCACTAGGTACTATGTCCCTCGCTAGGATGGTGTTATATCCCTCTCTATGTACTCTGTACTATATCCCTCGCTAATAACACTGTCATTCACTAGGTACTATGTCCCTCGCTAGGATGGTGTTATATCCCTCTCTATGTACTCTGTACTATATCCCTCGCTAATAACACTGTCATTCACTAGGTACTATGTCCCTCGCTAGGATGGTGTTATATCCCTCTCTATGTACTCTGTACTATATCCCTCGCTAATAACACTGTCATTCACTAGGTACTATGCCCCTCGCTAGGATGGTGTTATATCCCTCTCTATATACTCTGTACTATATCCCTCGCTAATAACACTGTCCCTCAGCTGGAACTATTTCCCTCGCTAGGATGGTGTTATATCCCTCTCTTTATACTCTGTACTATATCCCTCGCTAATAACACTGTCATTCACTAGGTACTGTGCCCCTCGCTAGGATGGTGTTATATCCCTCTCTATGTATTCTGTACTATATCCCTCGCTAATAACACTGTCATTCACTAGGTACTATATCCCTCTCTAGGATGGTGTTATATCCCTCTCTATATACTCTGTACTATATCCCTCGCTAATAACACCGTCATTCACTAGGTACTATGTCCCTCGCTAGGATGGTGTTATATCCTTCTCTATGTACTCTGTACTATATCCTTCGCTAATAACACTGTCATTCACTAAGTACTATGTCCCTCGCTAGGATGGTGGTATATCCCTCTCTATATACTCTGTACTATATCCCTCGCTAATAACACCGTCATTCACTAGGTACTATGTCCCTCTCTAGGATGGTGTTATATCCCTCTCTATGTCCTCTGTACTATATCCCTCGCTAATAACACTGTCAATCACTAGGTACTATGTCCCTCTCTAGGATGGTGTTATATCCCTCTCCATGTACTTTGTACTATATCCCTCGATAATAACACTGTCATTCACTAGGTACTATGTCCCTCGCTAGGACGGTGTTTTATCCCTCTCTATGTACTCTGTACTATATCCCTCGCTAATAACACTGTCATTCGATAGGTACTATGTCCCTCTCTAGGATGGTGTTATATCCCTCTCCATGTACTTTGTACTATATCCCTCGATAATAACACTGTCATTCACTAGGTACTATGTCCTCACTTGATTGGTGTTATATCCCTCTCTCTGTATTCTGTACTATATCCCTCGCTAATAACACTGTCATTCACTAGGTACTATGTCCCTCTCTAGGATGGTGTTATATCCCTCTCCATGTACTTTGTACTATATCCCTCGCTAATAACACTGTCATTCACTAGGTACTATGTACTCACTTGATTGGTGTTATATCCCTCTCCATGTACTTTGTACTATATACCTCGCTAATAACACTGTCACTCACTAGGTACTATGTCCTCACTTGATTGGGGTTGTATCCCTCTCTATGTACTCTGTACTATATCTCTCGCTAATAACACTGCCATTCACTAGGTACTATATCCCTCTCTAGAAGCACTGCCACTCACTAGGTATTATGTCCATTGCTAGGGAGGTACTCCCCCTCTCGAGGTACTATGTCCCTCACTGGGTTGGTACTATATCCTTCTCTAGGTAATAAGTACTTTGCTAGGTTGTGAAATTTCGTGTAGGTACACTTCCCTCACTAGGTAGGCTACCTTTCCTGGCTAGGTGCGTTCCTCCCGAAAATGATAATAATAAAAATGGAAAATATTGTTTTGATTTTAAATAATCAATATAATGAATATATTTCAATTAATTTTCCTTGATGTTCTTACTACAATCACGACAACAAATTCTGAAGTGGAAAACGGATAGATTGTGCATTAAGTTTACATAAAATCTTAAGCTTGTTATTTCTTTATGTCATTGCAGAATGTGGATGACAGTCGGTGATGGAATCGAAGTTTTGTGATTGACGTACCAGTCTCGTTTTGATTGTCTTAGTTTTGTTGGGGTCACGATCCGATCCGATCCGATCGGAATGGTGTTTGGCCAATGTTACATATATTGTACCTTATATTTGTTAAATTAAATTGTAACTCTGTGGATCTCAGCCTATAGTGGTCTCATGAAGAACTGAACCTATATCTGATGAATTGGCCATTTAGAATTTAGCTAGTGTTGACCAGCAGTGGTCCAATTTGTAAATGTCGATGGTGTTGAATTGTTTGATTGGTCAGTTGCTAATTAGACGGAATGTAGCTTTGGTCAGTTTGAAGTCGGTTCATCTTGAATGAAAGGATTTTCATGAAAAAGGTGTCTTGCATTTGTTGATCACGTACATGTCAGTTCTATCAATGTTGGTATCGACCTGCAATGGGCCACCGTCCATGTTTCCAGTTTTTGTTGTTTTGGTCATTTGGATATAGTTGATCTTTCGTTGTGAGCGATATTTGTGTTTTAGCGGACATTTGCCATATATATATGTGTATATTTTGGCCAGCAGTGGTTTCACGCTGATTGCGTCTTTTTTTCGGAAGGTTCTTACTTTCTTGGATCTTGACAGCTAGTAGTCCCTCGTAAATATCTAACAAGTGCTTGATATTTTCGCTAATCAAAATGGACTGATTCTTCAATGACCACTAATGGTCTGAGGTGTTGTCGTGGTCAGTTATAAATTCAGTCAAGCTGACCACCAGGTTCTGTAGAATTACCAACATGCAAAGTTCTGCTCGTTTTGTATTGGTCAGTTTTGTTCTAGCGAATTTTATGTAGTAACAATCACGTGATCAATGAAATATTCTAAAATTGATTTTCGTGTTCATGTTATATTTTTGTAACCGTCGTTGTAAACATGTCATAGATTCGTAAAAACGTATGAAATGTCATACATTGAAGTGAGACTGAACTTATGTACGAAACCGTTCTCAGACTCAATCATTGATTTGGTGATCAATCAAACTCTGTTACTCGCTTAAATAATGTGACACGCTCGAAGGTCAAATGTTAACATTGAAATGATATACAGATTTTTAAAACATAATAATTCCTCGAATTCATTGACAAAATTATTATTTCACATTTATCACCGGAACAAGATATTTGGCTTCGGCACAGAAATTGAGTTTGAGCATGAAAACGGTTTCACGATAACGGCCCCTTGATTTACGGACCTCCTCTAAATTCTTTAGGCATCATGGTATATTTTTTTATAAAGATGATTTATCTGTCTGTATCTCCGTATTTTGAAGTCCTCACTGATGTTCGGTACATATACATACATGCATATCATATAAAAAGAAAAAATCTCAATAACACGTCATTAGCACTTTCATCTCATGAAAGAGATTCTTCATGTTTATTCTACCACATAATTTCAGAAAAATGTACTTCCAAGATTTAAAACCCCCGATAAATGTAGAGAATAGAGACGAAAAGATATATATGAAATAAAATTCTCTTTAGGTAGATTCAATTTCGTTTAGCATTGAATAGTTTATTACAAAATGTAAAAAATATGATGTTTTTACATATGATAAAAAATATTTTTTATTATTACTGTTCGTTTATCTATATAAATAATAAAGATATATCAAAATCTATTGGAGTCGGAAATAAATTGCTGGGTGCTTTGACATATTTTAATGTTGTCTTCTAAAGATAAATTATTACTATAGTCTAGCGGGATGAATTCATTTAATTCACGGTACAATTTTATTCTTAGGTCCGCATAATTATTACAAACAAAGAAGAAGTGGTATGAATCATCAATGGGATGACCGCACTGACAGTGACGGTAGACAATTAAATTAGATTGGAATAGATCATCATCTAATTATAAAGTACTAGATCTATTTCTCAGTCTGGCTTGCAATATATTGGATAATTTGGAACTTTTGTCATTGTTCTAAGAGATTTTTTAAAGACTGGGTACGAAACACTGTTTCTAATTTCAAGATCTAGTTGGTTCCAAAATCGAGTCGTAGATGGGAAAAGTGATAAGTTGGTTAGTTGTAGTCGGAAATTTTGTATTGAGTAATTAATTACGTCATGGAGGTGATAATGGAGTTTTCTGAGACTAAAGGGTGCAGTAAAGAAGTTAGATAACCGGGTGTGAGTTTGGTAATAATTTGGAAGAATAGCTGTAGTTTCCTCCTAGAACGTCGATTTGATAGTGGTTCTAACCCACTTTCAGGATATAAAGAAATTCTACTAACATTAGAAGGTCATCCAGAGATTATTCGAGCAGACTCCAACTGAAGTTTTTTTGTCTGCGTCACCGAGAGAGCACCCGTCCCAAACCTCACAACAATATTCTAATAAGGGAAGAATGTATGATTTATAGATTTTGAATAAAGTTTGTCTATTTAACATATATTCAAGTTTACGAAGGATACTTACCTGCTTGGATACATATTTACATATTTTTTCTATATGTCTACTCCATTTACAATTAGCGTCCAAAATAGCTCCTAGGTGCTTATGATTATCTACAAAGTCAACATTCACATTATTGAATTTAATATCTATCACATGATCATGTTCAATGTTTGAAATGAGTAAAGCTTCCGCTTTTAGGGGATTACATTTTACATACCATTTTTCTGCCCACTTTTGAATTTTAGCTAGGTCGCTGTTAATTTTAGTTTCGATAGCCAAAAGAGATGGCTCAGAGCATAATAAAGACGTGTCGTCAGCAAACAATTTTGAAAGACTTTCGAGATGATCAGATATACCATTTATGAACATAAAAAGTAAAGGACCTAAAACTTAACCTTGTGGAACGCCTGCATTTGTAGCTTTAACGGAAGATTTACTATTTCCTACAAAGACCTGTTGTTTTCGGTTACTTACAAAGTTGTTTAACCAGACAAGTAGTTTCCCACGTATACCATGGTTTTCTAAATTCACATTCAGTCCCTTGTGCCACACACGATCGAACGCTTTAGAAATATTGCAAAAAACTAGACAGGATGATTGCATTTTTCAATATTTTCTCATAATGTATGGTACATTTCAATAATTTGATGAACAGTAGAATGGCCAGGCTAAAAACCAGATTGGTATTTATATATCAGTGAATTTTCAAGCAAATAGTTATGTAAGTATTTGACAGCCAAACGTTCGAAAAGTTTCCCGATAGTACTTCGTAGTACTATTGGTCTATAATTTGCAGAATCTATTTCATCACCTTTTTTAAATAATGGCATAACTAGAGCTTATTGCCCATGTTTTTGGAAAGATACCAGTTTCAAAAGAAGATCTAAATATTAGAGATAAAGGAAAGGCTATAGAGACCGCAGAATTTTTTAGCATATGATGACTAATTGTGTCGCTGCCTACAGCTTTGTTGATAGGTAAATATTTAAGAATGTCAGTAATGTCGTTTAATTAAGCATTGAACTGTTTTTGTATGGTATTTATGATCTATTTGAATGACACAGCTTAGCAAGCAAACAACATAATGCGCGCTAGCGCATTATGATTTGTTTGCTTTCAAAGCTGTGTCATTCAAATAGATCATAAATCTCATACAAAAACAGTTCAATACTTATATTTACGTTTTCTCTGCCTCTTATGTTCTTTTTTAACTTATAATTTATAATTAAAATTAAAAATGCCCGCCTTATCGACAGTCCATACAATTTCGTTCAATAGTTTGAACACCGTATTGTCGCGTGCTGATTGGCAAACAAAGTAGTACTTTGTCATTTTAACAAACACTTTAAATTTATTCCACAATTTTAGTATCAATATAATTGCCTATGATATGTCTATAGGGTGATTCAAGGTTATCAATAGAAATCTGAGCTGAAAGTTAGATTTGAAATTGTTTCGATTTTCCCCCGGAACAAATTTCGCGCATGGATAAATACAGTGAACACCGTGAATCCGACCTTGACCTCCACGAGGGAGTTATTTTTAGAAGTTCGTTCGAACTTTTCTCTTTGCTCATTTTGTGAAGAATCCAGGCGTGAATGTATTTGTTGATTGTATGGGAACCCGACAACAGTCGGTGGGTTCTATAACAGCATCGTTATTTGACATGTCGTCAGAAACTGATCATGAGGAACCGTGGATCCGAGACGCGTGAAACTGATAGCGTTTGAAGTGAGTGATCTTGCGACGGAGCACAGGTTCGTTACAAATGTCTGAAATGACAAATGTTTATGTGTTGTGAGTCATATCAGTAGGTCTGTAACATATGTGTTAGTAGGTCTATGGAATATGTGTATTTCAGACATTTGTAACGAACACCTGTTGATAAGTTCTGTGTAACAGACGATATTTCTGATGAATTGCATGAGCGTTAAATTTGTTTCCATTGCCGGCATTGGTGATTTCAACCGATGTGCATTTTGTACGAGATTGAGGACCTTGGTCTTGTTTTCGTTGTTATAAAAGTGTTTTTTGTTTTATTTTTTATTTTGCACATAAATTTACAAAGACATTATCAAATCTCACAATGTCCAGCGATATTTCAGCAGCCGTCATGTTTATTTACATTGGATATTGTAGTTCTGGTCAATGTTGTAATTAATACGCTAAGAATTGTGTCTCGTGCGGCATGGTAATTAAAGTCCCATCAACGACACAGCTTTCAAAGAGGCAATATAGTGACAATGCCATGCAAATGTAAATATTTGAAATTGTATGTCAGATATCGTAGGGTCCGTCCTTAGCTCTACGTCTGGTACGTCGATGTCAGTATCGGCAATAGAAGAGATAGAAACAAAGTAATCATTTAGGATATTAGCTTTACCTCCATTTGTCATTTCAAGATTTACTGCATCATCAATAAGGGGAGGTATAGTATTGGAGGTGTCAGAAGTTTTTAAAAGTCTGCGGACAGTTTTCCAAAAATGTCTAGGGTTCGAACCAGAATAACGATCTAAAATGCCATTTATGTCCTAAGGAAAATTTATTTAGGCGTTTTTTGAGATTGTTAACATGATTACGATGTTTTTCTAAAATTAGATAAATTAACTATAGAACGGTTAGACTTAAAAAACAAAAATAGTCGGTCTCTTTTCCTAATTTCTCGTCGTAATTCAGAATTGAACCAAGGCTTGTCAATAGATCGAATCGTTACAGTTTTTGTAGGTATGCACTCCCCAGCTATGTCCAGATGTCGTCCGGAGAGGAGTGCGCAGTCGAAAAGCAATCTAACCAGTCGGTACCGTCTAGTCTATTAATACAAAGGTCATAATTAGCCTCACTGTAACATCTTATTTTTCGTGCATACGTCCTCGGAATAACAGCCCCAACAGTCAG